ATTATTGCAGGAATTGCTTTAAAATGTACCATTTGTTATAAATATGTTATATAAGTAGAACAGTAGGTATGAATCTGAACATAACCTTTAATTTAGGGGTGAAAACTCTTTAGATAACTCAGAATATCTGCAGGTTTTTCTGTTTGTGTAACAGTTTGTGATGCTCGACCCTCTTTCCTTGAAGCGCAATCCTTAATTCCCATGTAAACAACCTAAAACACCAAAAATACCACAACACGTCACTGTGAGACGTGTTAATAAACCTTGAACTACAATGACCAACACTGGGCAACACCAAAGTCCAGTATATGTCTGGTGCTGCTGCTTCTTTTACCAGTAATGATTGTGACAAAACCACGAAGCAGGCAACAGTTTCACTTATGTGCATTTAGGAATTTGGTTAAATATTTACGCTCATGTGCTCGGTCTCATTTAGGTCCTAATTTCACCTCTAAACTCTGCCAGGAGCCCCCAGGGCCACAACGTCCCCTCTCCTGGGAACCCGACCTAATTAAACACGAAGCCTCGAACCTCCCAGCGGCCCAGACGACCTCATCAGCACATCACATGACCCACGGTGTTTGTTACGCGTCCAATCGGAGCCCGGCAGCGGCCTCTGGGTCAGAGGTGAAGGGATTAGGTGCATTGTGGGTGAACGCCCTGCGGACACGTCAGGTCACCTCTGCGGTGGAGGGAGGGGGAGCCTTCCCAGCGGCTCTTTGTGTGTCGCCGAGTAAAAGCTCATTATAAGTCTTACAGGTCGTGTGTGGCTGCGAGCTGAACGCATCAATCAGTCCGAGGTGCCGCATTTCTGCACGCAGCAGGTGCAGCTACACTGTGATTTAACCGCAGGAGCTTCTCTCACACACAGAGCTGCTAATTCAATTATCTGAGGCTCCACATACAAACATTTCCACAGTAACAGTGACTAGAACGGATGAGAATCTCTGCAGCTTTACGGCCTGTTTTAGCTCCTGGTTTTGGTTTTGAGGCGCATTTCGTATCTGGTTGTGATTTTTTTTTAACCTCAGAACTCCGGTGTAACTGCCTGCTCAGCACAAAAACACACCGTTACGCCTCGTTTCCACACAGCAAATCAGCAGTAAGTCCATTCATTCCTATGAGAGCCTCTCTGATCTTCGATGTGACTGCTAAACTCCTTTTTGCATTTTTTTCTGGTTAAAAAATTAGAAATTGTGCAGTAGATCACAGACAGACAGGACTGTGTGCACCAGGAAGTTGGATAAATGAATCCGCTAACAGGCTCTTGAGATGTTTAACTATGAGACAGTCAGAAGGTGTCAATGTGTAACTATGAAGACACTATTGTTGCTACGGTAACTCACGCTAGCTGTGTAACATCTAAAAAACACTGTAGTGGCTTATATTTGCTACAAGAAAATATTTTAACAAACTAACTAAGCCACTATTCATTAAAAAATAATTTACAGAACATTACTGTTTTGCGATAGTTATTCATGATATATACGGTTGTAGAACTACAGACAAAATGAGAACAAACAGCAATTCTTCCTTAAAACCTACTAAGATCAAAAAAAAAGTGCCCTACAATATTAGAGGTGAGGTTTTGTTTGCTATTTTTTCTCTATATTTGGGTTTTACAGGATGAATGCAGCATTAAAACAGCACCAAGCTTCCTAGCAAACACAAGCAAAGATTTACATTTTGTTTAAAAAGATGTGAATGATTCAGATAAAATGAAGCTATAAAGAAGGATAAACGTGGATGAATCCTGGATCAGCTCCAACAGAATCCACTTTATGTATCAAAAGTGAAAGTTGCTTCTCATAATACAGAAAAATGATCCCTGTAAGTGTTTTCTATTCTGTTATTGGATTATTACTATTATCACTACTGATGCATTAATGTGTAGGCTGGCTTTATACGCTGCAGGAGAGGATCTGCCGGTTCCACACGTCATTTGCTTTATCAGGTGGAAAATTATAAAAAAAAAAATAAAAAATCAGGATGGAAACGCCTCCAGAATCCGCCTAAACGAAACATCCAGCGTCAGACGAGGCTTCGACACACACACTCAGGTAGAAACACATTCAGCCCACTGCTTCATGTGATGTGAAGGAGCTGATAGATCCTCTCGTGCCGCGCAGACTTCAGAGGCCCTCGTATTCCCAAACTCCAAACAAGCGGCGGCAGGCGAAGGGGTTGCAGCAGGACGGATCTGCCTCTTTCAACTCGTCAGGGTGGGAAAAAAGAAAAAACGCTGCCTCATGTTTCTGCCCCTGTTTCTCCCTCACACCGAGAAACTAAAGCTTCCACGTGCAGCCGCCGCAACACAAAACGCTCGTGCAGCAGCCGACGCTGACTGAGCTTCTAAAAAAAGAACGAGGGCAAAGCCGTTTTGCAAATGTGTGAAGTGGAAGAAGCCAACGTTTGACGGAGTTGATACGGAGAGGAAACAAAAGCTTAACTGATCGCTTTAGCTCTCAGCCGGGAGAGGAAGCGGCTACACACTGCTCTTTATCCGAGAATGGACAGTTAACTAGATGCACATTTGCCAAATCGATCAGTCGGTTCTCATCGGTGAAGCCTTTTCTCTTGTAAAACAGAAAGATGCTGATAGAAAACACTGGCAGTAAATGTCGCCACTGTGGTGCTGATGTGGTGGTTCTTGGACTGAAGGGGGCACAGAGCCAACGCAGGGAGGAAAACTCCAGCACCAGCAGCAAAATTCAGCTTGACTGACTTTAGCTGGAGCTTCCTAAATATTGGTAATGACTGATAAAAAGGCAGCAGTTTACATGAGGTCAGGAGGATTTATTCAGCTTCTACATGGGGAACAGAGAGCAAAAAGAGGCTGTTTTTTTAGACTTTTTAACCTGTTTCTTTGAAAAACCTGAGCCTTCTTCTAAATATCACAGCGAGAATCATCTTCATTAACAAGAAAGAACAGCGAGTCAATAAATTGGCTCTAATAATCTAACAGATTGAAAACATATCAACGTGTAAGGTAGAAGACGAAGCACATGATTGTCAGAGAATGTGTGTAAAGACGGTGAAACTTGGATCAATGGAAAGAGATCCGGATCAAACTGAGTCACGGTTCGGTTCATTTCTAGTAAAAAACACGTTGCTTGATTGGTTTGAACTGTCAGAACTATTTCAGGATGCTACAGATTAATATCTGAATAAAAAAAAAAAAAAAATTTAACCAGAAGAGCACGAGGAGGGAAGTTTTGAACTGAAATATGGTTCAACAACATTATGTCACAGAAGGACTGAACTTTCAGTTGTTGCTGCTAGTTAATGCTTTAATAACATTATTATATTGTTTTGACTGCACATAAATCCATCAATTATTTTCTCCATTAATCGATGAGTTATTTGGTCTATAAAATGGTGATAACTGTTGATCAGTGCTTCCTACGACCTCGATGACAAACGTCTTGTTTTGTCCACAACCCAAAAATATTCAGTTTACTGTCATAAATGAGGAAAGAAAAATAAAAAAATGTGCATATTTAAGAAGCTGAAACCAGACTATGTTGCCTTCTTTTCCTGAAAATTTACTCGAACTGATCAGTTGACTATTAGAATAGCTGCTGATTAATCCAATAGGTTGTTGCAGCTCTAACAGGCAGCCTATGTAAGTTATAATGAAAGGACGCAGGCATGCTGTGGAAAGTTGTTTACCGTGTTTGCTGAACCGTAATGTAAAAACAACACAAGCACATGGAGATCCTGTGTAATTTTTCATACAAAAAAATAAAAAAATTGTGGTTAAAGCTTCTAAAATATGATGATTTAAGGCTTTTTTTTGGTCGTATTGCATCATAAACTGGATGTTTTGAGGCTTTAGGGAGCATTTTTGTTGCTATTTCCAGCATGTGCCCATTAATGATTAATACAATCAATTCAATCTGACTGTTTTCATGCCAACCTTTAATTTTTGTGTGACATTATTTTTGCTAAATACGCATCTCAGCGGTACCTTGACTCATTTTATGTGCCGATATTGATCCCTGAAGTCAAATCAGTGATTTCATTTTACCAAATCTAAGACATTAACGCGCAGTGGGAGGTTGTTCTGGTGCTAAAAACAGTCAGCAGGCTGTCGTGACTGTAAATGAAAGCAGAAACACTGAATTTTTAAATGGCTCTTACGTTAGAAAAAAATTCAAAAATCCCATCCACACTGACAGGCTTTACCTCTCTGACTCTGGCTCAGTACGATGATGTTCCTGGTTTTAATCCTGCCCACGAAGAATCACTAAAAATATTCACAAGAGCCAAAAAAGAACCTGTATTTTTGTGCAAAACACTGTACTGCTTCTACTTCAGGTTTACAAAAAATAAAAAATAAAAAAATCGACAAAACTGCAGTATTGATCTGCCCATGATGCTTCTGTAGAGCTGAAAGAGGCTCCATGCTACTGTGCTAAATTTGTAACCAAACTGCTTCAAGCACACATAAATAATTTCCACTGCAGCTTTCATAACTCCTGAAGCAGAAGAGTAAGGAGGGGAGGGGGGAAAAGCTACAAAAAAAATAACACAAAGTGAAATCAGCAGGAGAGAAAATACCTCATATGGCTTAGACGTTGATTTACATGACACCGTAATTATGTGAAGGAGGCTAAAACACTGAAGCTGCTGCGCCGAGATCACATTTATGCTTCTTGTCGTGTCTCGAGTCACACAAATGAGGCGGCAGAATAATCAGAAAAACCAGTCGCGCAAAGGAATCGGCAACAAAAGAGCCAAGACATCCACGAGTTCCAGACAAATCGCCCGAATCTGATCCTCTTGTGTGGGTCTTTCTGCATCTCAGGCGCAAACTGAAACCTATTATTGTCGCCACACAGCTGATTTTACACTTCACATGTAGTCGTTTTCTGCTGCAGCAATAAAACACCCCCCCAGCACACACACACACACACACACACACACACACACACAGTGGCGTTTTACACAAGAACAAAATATTGAAGAGGAGAAGAAGAAAGCATGTGTCGCCTCACCAGATCCGTGAATGTAAATTCCCACTGAGGGAAAAAACTGACGAGAAGTGACGGAGAAGCTCCTCAGTCGCAGTCGAAGCCTCCAACAGGAACCTTTTGGAGAAAATCCAGTCTGTAAAAAACACAAATAAACAGGTATGAGATGACAGCAGAGGCAAGATAACAACTTCACAAATATAGCAGATATCAAGTACAAAAAAATCAACTCCAAACAGCAAATAAAGAGATTTCTGATGCCGCCGAACCGAAAAAAGTGCCGAATATCAAACAGCAGAAGCCCCAGAGGATCAATTGAACTGTCAATCAGGCGACGCACACAGCTCCTCATTACCGTCATTATTAAAGTTGGAGCTCAGAAGATCTTCCTCTTAAATTTTTGTTTTGTTTTTGTTGCCATCAGCAGCGCTCGTCACTGCGTTTCGGCGCCGAGCTTCCCCCCCCCCGTCAATCAAGCTTCTCACATGGGAACGAGACATTTTGAAGTTTCTATTTATAACCGCCGGCGACTGTTTCTCGTTCGTTGAGGCTGCGACTACATCCACACTTCCTCCGCTTGCAGGGCTTTTCTCGGCTCACGGTGGGCCTCTGGGAGGCGGCGACGCACGACGAGCACGATCGTTCCGCAAACAGTAGAAGCGATGAGTCTGTCGCTTTTTTTTGGAAGGAGAGAAATCTACACATTTTTCTGTTATTTGATGAATAAAAATGTCTGTTATGATGAGTAAAACCCAGACGAGGATGAGAGTTCTCTGCTGGAAACTTGTGGATTTTTTCCTCTGCATTAGAGGCAAGTTGGAAAAATTTGGCATGAGATGGACGGATGGATTCGTGCAGCAGGTGTTGTACGAGGGGAGGTAAAAAGTTCATAGAAGGAGGTACATACTGCAGCAGCAGACTATTATTTTATAATATAGTCCTCATTTACCTCAATGCAC